GATTGTGTGGTGGTAAAGTGCGCTACTCGCCGGTAAGGACATTAGCGTGCGTTTGTTCCCCACCGCATGCACCTGCGGTCCGGAGTTTTCCAAATATCTCAGCATTATATACGAGTTACGATTTGTGTGTCGAGAATTGGTCATTAGAAAGCGTTCACAACAGCGCTCGATAGCATTGCAAACGCTGAGGAAGATGAGCGAAGTGGGCTACGAAACTTTGCGCCATTCAGTGCACCTTTATTCAATTGTTATACGAACTTTTTCAAACATCTCAACGGCTACGTCCAAAGAAAAATCGGCGACAGATCTTTTGCTTTGAACATCCTAGAAGAATTTATTGTTTCCAGAACTTCATAGTTCTAAGTTTTCCTTTCAAATTTGACGATTTTTGCTCGACTGAATATTAGTTATAAGGATGTTGTATATCAACACCTTGCAAAACTCGAAACCTCTCTTAGGCTTCAAACTTATAACCACCTTTACTGCGGCTCGTGTGTTATCCGCCGCAGCAAAGAGATTTCGGGTTATGCTCATATTTCAGCATCTTTGTGAGTGTATTTCACATAATAACCCGCGATGAAGAAAAGCTTAAGTCTCAAAGTTGCCACAATTTAGAACATAAGGAACAAGTTGGCTCGAGTTTTCGTCAGAGCGTGGCCTTTTTTGAAAGCATCAATTTCTTTTGCTACAACAGTCCTTCAACTTGGGTTTGTGAATATCTTACACAATTGCTGTTTTTTTATTTCGGCTGGACAGTGCTGCTTCATTGCGTTCAGATATATAATAGGACGATCAACTGTCCACTCACCATTTCTTCTACTGGCTGGTGTTCGGCTTGAGAATCTTACTGCTCAGGATTTAGAGTCGTTCGAACACATTCCCATGCATCTTAAGACATCCGGGTAAGATTTAAATAAAGAACTTCGTACAGTTTTCTTGCATTTCCTTTGTCGGCTACACACCAGTTTCATAATTCAATACCTCATTGCCTTAATATCATGTAGTATTCATTTTGAGATTCTTTCTTTCCAGCAATTTAAATTTTATTTCTTTCTATTATAATTTTCATTTTATGTCTACACTTTTTCATGACACGGTGCGATGTGGTATGCAACCATAAGAATACTCAGTTATGAACAAACCTCGAAACTCCATTTGGTCTCCGAACTCGCGATTACCTTTACCAGGGGCCCCACGGACTATGTGGGTTCAGCTTCACCGAGTTCAACATTGACGTGTGCTGAACGGACCATTCGCGTTGGCGAGTGATTGATGATAGCACCGATAGAGTAAAAACATGGGTGAGAGAAAGACGGAGCAAGACCCTCGGTTGTTGTGGTGGAAGGCATGTGTGGCCTCGGCAAATGTAACCGCGAGTTCAAAGCCCAATTGAGGTTCTAGATTTGTTCATATCTCAGCATGGCTATGATTGTGTCTCCTTCTTTTCTTTAGTTTTATTTCTGATGTTATTTATGTACTCGTCGAATAGAAAAATATCTACGGTAGCTCCGCTTGACTTGGTGACATTTATGGTGGAATTACTGTGGTATATAGTGTATCTTTTCGAATATTTGCAAAAAAATTTACTCTTGAATTACGACGATTTAATATTAGGTTACTTAATCATGACCAGGATTAGATAACCCAAATGGTAACATGCCAAAAACTTTAAATTTCATTCAATATTTCTTGCTAACTTATCGATATGGCATTTTCAATGTTGAGCTAAATAGAAATCTCGATCTCGCAATAATGATCGCGTCTAATATGAAGTAGTATCTTACGAATATTTCAAATGCCTCCTTCACCTAAACCAAAAAGTTCGGCATCTCAGTTTAGAAGTTCGGATATCATAGATCGATTATAGGAGCAACCGCCAAGGAAGTACTAAGTTGTTCGGAAATTGATGGAGGATTTCAGCTACTGTTTTAAAGTGGCATATCTTACTTAGATACTTGAACGGCCTGTCCTCGCTGATTGTGCGAGCCCCAGCATTTTCACTATTTTTCGGAGTTTTGCTGGTTTAGCCGTTATGTTTCCTTGGAGTCCAGAGGTCAGCCTGACCAAAGTCTGCTCCTGATCGCCACCACCACAGACAGTCGCCGCCCTTGTGAACCACGAAAAGATTTGCCACCATACGACTAGTTTGATACCAGGATTATGGCGGATCTTGGTACCGGTTAACTCTTAGCTGAGCTCCCTGATAGAAACGCCAGACTCTTTCTCAGCTTGAGAAAACCCACCGGGAGGACTAATCTCCACCCCCCTCCCCCCTGTACATCACAGCCCGATACCCAGGAACACCTCCCAGTCACGATGAGGAGGTAAACAATTGTAATGAAGTAGACACCTTAAGGATTGACAGATTGAAAGTGGCATATCTCAACTCAGAATACCGGTTGCACAAAACTTTGAAATTTTTCAGGTTCTGACACCGTTCAAGACAGTTTCGCCGTATGTAAAGAAAGCTATTGAGAGTTTCTGTGTGCTGGTTGTTCAACCTTTGCAGCCTCGACAGTGAGACTTGTTCCAACTAGAATGGCTCTCATCTGTCGAATCCTGTCCACTTTCAAATCTTCTTTAGATGTTTATAAGCTGTTAACTTGCTTACACTGAGGTCTTCCACAATTTCTCGAACAGTCGCGTTTGCTTCATTCCGCCTACTAGCAATCCATTAAAACTGCTTTGATACCACTCATCATAATCTGTAGAAATTTCGAAAAATGCAATTTATATTGCAGCTCAATTCATAGAAGTGCGTAAAACGAGCTTAGCCATAAGACATAATAGTACAATACTTTAAAAAAACCTAGTCAAGAGACGTACAAGAAGAATGAAGTTTGAGAAGGCCTATACTGATTCCCAAACAACTCAATAGAAGTCATAGCCGGCAACTTCCTTCCAAACCAAAACTACCACCGACAACATAAAGAATTCTTGCCAAATCAGCAAGTGCTACAGTTAAGCGAGAAGTTTGCTGACAACCTCCGGAAATATCTCTATCTCTAATGTCAACTATACTTACTTGGATAACTGGATGGTTGGTTTTCACGAGTTGTGTGGATCTCGGCACGTTTCGTTTTTTTCCCTCGCAAACGTCGTCCATGGTGGCGGTTTTATTCGAGCATGGTTGTGCGTGAAAGTCTCATACCGTGATCTGTAAAACAACTGCAGCTCGTGATACAGCTGAGTAACTTTCTTTACGAACGCGTCCGCTCAACGCGTAGCTGGCCGTCCTAGGGGACGCTTGCATTTTCGTGGAGTCCAGTCTGCAGTTTTTTTTCTCTCATCTGTCGTCTCTTCCTTTCATCATGTGACCAGTTCATCTATGTTTTGCTATTGATGCATATTTTCCTGGATCTCGAAAATGTGATAAATTTTGGTGATTAGAGCTTCGCATTCCGGCTAGATATTGAGAGTGTCGGTCATATTTCAGAAGACATCGCTCAATCGTTCTGAGTAGTGCGAAGTATTCTTGATGTGGTTGAAGTATTGGCCCACGTCTCTGCAGCATAGCAGAGCGCTGAAAGGACCGTAGAATCGAAAAGATGAGCGCGGATTTTCGGGCCCCTCAGTTGGTTAGTGGCATCTTTGAGAGGCCCAAATGTAGCCTAAGCTGCTCTCCTTTTTCTATCTAGTTTTTTCCTTATGTTGCTTCCCATGTTCATTAACTGCCCAAGACGATCGTACGAGGTGGTCTCTGCAATCAGAGAGCCATTCACTTCAATTTTTTTCGCCTTCGCACCACGGGTTTTCCATGAACTGGGTCTTCCGATTTGTACGCAATCCGATCTTTTTTCCCTCTTCGTTGAGTTCGTTGATCGTCGTCTCTGCTTCCCTAGCACTTCTTGAGAGGATTACGACATCGTTGGCAAAGCGAAGGTTAGATGGGAATATTCCATCAATACGTATGCCTTTCTCATCCCAATCGAGTGACTTCATTATCCACTGATGTGCGGCACTGAACAGCTTTGACGATATTGTGTCGCCCTGTCGAACCCATTTTCCTATGGTTATGGTAAGATGTCAATGGGAAAGCTGTATTTTCGTAGTGCAGTTCCGATAACAGTCAGATAGAGTTCTTATGTAGGACGGATCCGCTCCTTGGTCGAAGAGTGCTGATAGGATTGCATTCGCTTCGGCGTTGACAAACGCTTTTCATAGCCGACAAAGGTTAGGGCTAGAAGCAGGTGGTATTCCCTACAAACTTCGATGACCCTGGACACGGCTTGGATGTAGTCCATGCAGGAAAATCCTTTTCGAAATCCTGCTTGCCCGACTGCTTGCGCCCCATCCAATGTCCTTGATATGCACAACAGGATAATCTTCCTGAAGAGCTTGTAGAATACGCCTAACAAGCATATGGGACGATAATTAAAATGATCCCTTCGGTATCCTTTCTTGGGCGGGATGACCGTGCGCAACGTCCTCCACTGATCTGGGGCTTTTCCTTTTGAAGGTAGGCTGTCGTATGATCTGCGAGAAGTACCTGTAAATTGTGGGTTCCAGCTTTGAGGAGGTCGGTGATCGATGAAGAGTATTCTTGCCCAGCTTGCGGTTTAATCGAATCTTCGCGCGAAGAAGGCGGTGATCGGAACCAGTACAGAATGGCGGGACTAACGACGTGTCAAGTAGGCACCATCTTCTGTTTCTCAGAATACGTCGATCTCCGCATGAAACATGCCGTTAGGAGACTCTGATGTCCAGCGGCTTCTTTCTTTCTTCTGGAAAAACGAGTCACTATAGAAGAGACGTACTGCGGGCAGGAGTCCTACGGGTCGGTTCCCATTCGCATTTCTTTCTCCTAACCCAAAATTTCCGATTCTATATTCGCTCTCGTTGGCCTTTCCTATTTTGGCGCTGAAGTCTCCAACAACAAATTTATGATAAGCATTATCATTGCGGATAACTTCCTCCAACTGATAGTAGAATGCATCCAATTCGTACTCATCAGCTGCGTTGGTCGGTGAGCAGCAGTAGATGATAGTGATCTTCTTATGATGCGACAGTTGAAGACAGACGACGGCTATGCGACGGGAAAGGATCTCGTATCAGTCGACGAGATGGACAATGGACAGGTGGACGACAAAGCCTACGCCACCGACATTTCGTGACGAGATCTTTTCTACACGGATCACAAGGGCGCCGCTATTTAATTGGCGTATGTCAATCTTCTTGACTTTTGTTTCTTGTAATGCGATCGCATGAAATTGAATGCGATCTGCGGCTACAAGAATGGCGTGAAGATCGCTGTCTGTGGAGAGTGTTTTGGCATTATACGTGCATAGTAAGAAACAACCTCCATGGCGTGTCGTGGGTGTTTTCGTCAGATCCAGTTCCAATGAAGTTCTACGTACCCCGAGATTTTGTGCCCTCTCACAGGTCGTCTGTCCGGTTGACCTCATAGATGGGAGCACCCAGTATGTGTGGTAATGGGGCTGACCTATTGCTAGTTGTGCAACTTGGTCTTCCGTGGAGTCCTGGCTTAACCTTGCAAGGGTGAATCCAGGTCTTCACCACGATGTGGATCCGAGAAAGAATTGATGTGGACTATTGAGAGATCAAATAACTATTTTGCATTATTATTTAAGAAATAGAGACCCACATAGCACAATTATTAGGTATATCGTGCAATACACATTCAGCATTCGCTGCTTCGATCCCGTGCCACGGGCTCGCCAATCCTTCCATCTTTCAAAGCTTCGTTTTGATAAATTAACTTACTCGCTACCTCGGTGAGCTACCACAAGTTATTTTACAGAACAGATTCGCATTCGGTTATCTCTGAGATGATAAGACAACTGTCGAGTACATGGTAAATCGGGATTGAGGATAAGGGAAAGACGAAGCAAGGCCTCAGTGGTGAAGTGGGTAACATGTGAGCTCCAGGAAAGGGTAATCGTGGTTTCGAATCTGGCCTTTGCAAATAACTCATCATTATTGTGGTTAAATTTTACATAATATCCTTCCATGAAAGAGTAATAGATAGTAAATAATAAGTTATAAATACTAAGGGAGCCATAAGAGTGCTAAAAGATGAGCAAAACTCGGAATCTCAAGAGGCATCGAACCCGCAACTGCGATTTCGAAGGGCTCACTGTTTTCCACTACACAAACCGAGGTGCCGCGGTCTAAAAAACAATGTTTTAACTTTTGTTTACTGTCTACTATTCTGAGACAATTCGTCCTTGTCCGCGAATGGTTCATACGGCAATAGTGGCTTAAGTCTTGATGAGTGCCGTGCTGACATGTTTACTTTTCAGAGTCACCCTAGTTGGGAATGAGTTCGATATTTCCAAAAGGAATCCCACATAAGGGTAAACCTATACCACAGATGAGTCTGGCAATTCTTCTGTGGTCATTTTCTTACGCAGAGAGAGTTTTAAAGAGCATCTTACCCAGTATGTAATTCTCTTTTTGTGCTTTGTACCTGGCAGAGAGAAATGTAAGTTACTGGTATCCAATTTCAGTTACACGATGATTAACAGGATCGCAGGTGATGCAAATGATTCTGTTTTGTAACTGAGTGTACTTGTCGTATAATATGATCGACCGTATGCAAAATTTTGCTAAAATTCGCTTGTGTTGAAAAGACAGATGTAAGACGAGCTCAGTTTTCTTACAGCTAATTCCACAACTACTCTTTAAAAATTTCATATCCTATCCATGACTATACTTAGGCCTCCCAACGGTTTAATGCCTCATCGTGGCTGGGAGGTGTTCCTGGACGTCGGACTGCGATGTACAGCGGGGGATTCATTCCCTGCAAGGTCTCCTGAGCTGAGAAGGAGTCCTGTATTTTCATCAGAAAACCCAGCTAGGAGTAAGCCAATACCAGGATTCGTCACCGTCTTGGTATCAAACTAGTCGCATGGTGGCAAATCTCCGTCTCATCCATAAGGGCGGCGACAGCCACTGGTGGTGAAGACCGGGGGCAGAATTTGGCCAGACTGACCTCGGGACTCCAGGGCTTAACCAGCAGATCTCCGAAAAAATAGAGATTATACTGGGATCCGCTCAACCAGTGAGGACGTTCCGTTCAAGTATCAAGTAACTAAGTAAGAGTATACCTAAGTCTCCATAACTTAAATGTTACCTTGGTATAGAAACTATTGCATTATGAGAGTAGAGAAAAGAACATAACATTAAAAACATAACATTAATAATATTATTTCCGTCTCTTGAGCGACTAGAACCTACTACGTAATTCTAACTATTAGTGTCAACTTTATTGATAACTTTGGAGACTGTGCAATTGGTGTTGAATATGAAAAAAACGGCGCGTTTTTGAACAACACAACTTTCAACTTCTTCTATAATTTTTTTCCAGCACATTTAATCGATTGTGGCGTTTTCTGCTCGTTCTTCCTGGATTATTCTCCCGTTTGTTCGGATATGGGCTATTCTTTGTGCAATTTATTGATTTCATGTACAACAGCGATATTGGTATACAATTCGTGAAGAAAAATATCACATCTCACATACCTCCGGCTCCGCATAAGGTATTAGCATAGTAGGGAGTAGCTGTTTAGTGAAGTTGTGTATTTGTATAGCAGATGAACTGTAGTCCGTTCAGCTTCTATGCGAGTCCAATGTTCAACTTTTGGATACAAATAAGTGTCCATTATGCTTACGACGTAGAACGAACGACACCGCATTATCAGTATCTGGATACGTGTTCTGTTATGCTTGCATTGACAATCATGTCAAGGAATTTAGAAGGCAGGTGTAAGACTTTCAATCTTTACTTCTGTATCCAGCAAAAGAACATCCATCTAAAAATACAGCGAGTTGATACGTTGGTAAGTCACTACAAATATTCGTATAGTCCACACACGCCAATAGTCATCTCTATGATGCTACCATTGGAATCAAATGCATGGCATATCCTTCAAAGGTTAACAGCCTTCGAACACAGTGCCTTTAATCTTTTTATCTGTAATATTCGACGTTCAATATCTGGCAATGATCAATATTGAACGGAATTTGTGAAAGAGTTTCTGCGTTAGTTTTTAATAAGAAGACCATCATTGTTCCGACATTTCACAACGGAAACGATAGCTGCCTTGTATCAGAGGGTTTGAGAAGTCCTCTTAGAATATGATATAATACACTGCAAACGATTTGAAAAAATTTCAGATGCCCCGTGACTGGAATTCCTGCCACTGCAAATGAGCTGATTCGACTGTATATCCAATGAAAGACGTCAACCATACGAGGGACACTTGAATGAAATAGTCTATGCAAGCGCATTGAAAATTTCGTTAGCCTTCCCAAATAATATTTTCTTTTCGGCAAGCACAACTCCACTTTTGTTCAAAAAGCTGTCAAGCACTCTGCGGTCAAATGTTGCAAGGTTTCTGCACTTGTAACTTCGAAGATTTCTAAAGTCCCACATGTATAATGAAAGTATGCAGCATTGTAAGGTAGTAGTCATTGTGAAACTTCCACTCATCATCATTGGAAGTAACAAGAAAAAATAAGACTATCACCCCCTAAAATGCCCATAATGGTGTTGGTAGATATGATTGTATACCATGTGGCAGCGCATTTTGAAGCATACCATTTGAGCTACGAAATATTTTGATTACTTATCATCCTTATCGAAAGAGGTTTGACGAAGTCAGAGTTCAAGCAAAGATCACTGGTTAAAAAATTGTCTTTTTTAACGTTCTATATGCTTGAAGGTGCAGCATTCATTAGGGAATTATAAATTTTCTATGAAATCAAGTAGCAAGTCTAAGAAAAAGATTAATTATTAAATCTAATATTAATAAGAAACTGGCCATATTAACTATTCTGTAAGCCGTTCGGTTACAGTGGTCCAGTAATAGAAAACATTTCGTGTGGCTCGCATTCTTACATTCATCATCTGTCGTTCATATCCACACTTGACCTCATGCCTTCGGAGGAAAGAAAAACGTTTCATCGAAAGAATTTTCGGTGTATAGTGCTAAACCACGTGTTGTAGAACCATCGTGTTCTTCAGAACACCGCCATCTCTACCTCCTTGTTAGGTATGAGCCATACGCTCCTCGGCCTAAAAGTGCCTTCATGCGAGTAAAATTAATCCTCTACATGAGATCAAATCATTACCGCACGAAAGATCTCATCAAAGATGCAATCAAAGTAGTCATGTATAAGGTATTATGCTTCTGCGATATCACAAGTATCGCAGAAGCATAATAAAAAGTTTCTAACTCTTTTCAAAAATATTTTTCTTAGCTAGAAACAATTAGCATATGAGGCAGCTAATAGTGCTGGCAGAATTGTGACAATCGCTAGAGTTTAGATGTTCTACGCACACTAGAACCCTTGTAAAAGTTTTGCTTGCTGCCCTAGTAAAACATGGTAGTTCTCGATACGCTTGGGAAACAACCATTTCGAGGAGCTTGTGAAATTCGTCGAAACAGTAACCCACGCATTAGTTATGAAATTTTTAAACAAAGTGTCTCCGTGGCAATACACCACTTTCATTCCTTTGACTCTATTGCAAGAGATTTCTATAACATTTTGCTATCTGTTTTGAAGCAGATAATGTGGAAAAAAACCTGCACCACCCTAGATTTACAAAAGGTCTTTGGTCTCTTCTCTGCGGAAGATCAGGTTTTTCACTGGGCCATTTTTTGATAAACTTGGCCTTTGTTTCACTAAGTCGAATTTTTGCCGACCTGCGAAAAGGAGAAGAAAAAAGTGGAGGCAAATAAAAGACAAGTGTTTACCATCTTAAATAAGAAAATTTCACCATTTTATGTGGATGGTTACGGATTTTTCGTGTAACTACCCGTCTCCAAAGTTATTTTGTTTGTCGTAAATTTTTAGATTCTTGTTTTGCCAGTCTATGCCGTGTACCTCCTCATCACAAGAAAATAGTCAATATCATTGACTACTGCTAACACTCTCAAGACGACGCCTAATTCAGTTTTTCGACTAAAACATCCCGAACGGAATCCTGTGCAAACGTAACTGGCAGAATACGGAAGACTAGAACGAAGAATGCGAGTTGCTTGTCGAAGGACTTAGAAGTTGTGTTGAATTGGCGCTATTTCCTGAAATAAGAAGAACAGATCGTATCTCCATTACCACTGAGAAGTTATTGTGTTAGCAATTCTTTCTTCGTTTGTCACTTATCCGTCACCGACGAAGGTCTTCGCATTTGCCTGCAGAACACTCTGCCAGTTGAGGATTTTGCTATCTTCCGAATGTCGTTGAATTCCGTTTCAGGAGCTCGTTCCTTGAATCCGGAGACAGCTGGGCCAAGGTGTACTCAACCTGTAACGACCGTGCTTCCCGGGCTCCTAAAATTTGAAGTGAAGAACGAAATGTCGCTGGTTCGGCGGTTAGAAAATAATTAGCTAAACTTGTGAATTCTTACAAAAGTTTATGTTCTTTTCTTTTTGTTCTATAATCGACTAGTTTTGTTCGGTGAAAAAAAATTTTCTTCTAGTCATGAAGATACTTTCTGTGATAAATTCGAAATCAGGAAAACGTCATAGGTACACGATATTTCAGCAGTACTTTGCGATAGGGTAACACCTTTGCTATGAAATTGCTCTACCATTTCGTAAACTGCAAATGAAAATAAAGTTCTTATTACTCATAAAATAAGCCCCTTAATGACACCACACACAATCGTAAATAACAGGTGACTGCGCGCCGAACTCAAGTGTATAATAGGCACTTACTTCTACCCATCAGGATTCTCCGACTTCAGGACAGTTCTACATTTCCACGCAAAAGCCCAAGAGAGGGTAAACTTAAGTTATTAAAAGTAATGGGCTTCGTGACACAGATGTAATGATGTTTTTCCCTCGTTTGGATCGATAAACAGCTTCGTGCCTGACGGAAGCGAATAGAGACCATACTGACACACCGTGGAAGCTTTCAACTAAAAACAATGTATTAAAAGCATTTGCTTAAGTAAGCTTGTTAGCCTTCATTTCCACGTCTTCTTTTACAACTAACGATTTCTTGATAAACCAGATGAAACGCCTTTATCTTTCATTCCTAGTACAAAAATGTTTACGGATGTCGTATTTTTCATACTGTAGGTCATCAATTAAACTTTTAACTTTCTTTCTGGAAAGCTCCCACCAAATATTGGCAATAATGGGACCGACTTTCTTAAGACCCACTAGCCCTTGATCTAAAGAAGAAACGGAAAATACAGATAAGAAAGAGAAAGCAAATGTGCAGAAGAAAATAATTCCATGAAAAGCCAAAAAGATGATGGAGAGGAATACGCCATGGAATTGTGAAAATACCAAAATTTTGTTCATGTTTCTGGAGCAGAAATTCGGTTTAAACAACACGTCTTTCCGTTTTGTGCAGAATAAAAAGAT